TGGGCGCGCGCGCTCGGCCCGCCATGGAGTCGGTCAGTGGAGCTGGCGACCTTCGCGTTCCCGGGCCCATCGGGCCGAGCAGACTAGGCCCGAACGCCGCAGTTTTTGTTTCTTTTTATTTTTTTAAATGCAGTTTTTGTTTCTTAATCCCTGAACGGGGACCTGAGCCCCAGGAAGAGACCGATGGTGCCGAGCTGAGGTGCCAGTGCTGAGCAATGCAGCTCTATTTTGCTAAGACTTTTATTTTTTTTTAAAGCCTTTACCCCCGTTTTCCTTCTCTGACCTTTTTCTTTTTCTTTCCTTTTTTGCTATTGCATTAGTTTGGGAGTGGGGGCTGTCAGTGGTGACATGAGGACGGGGTTCTTGCCTACTTGGCGCCTGCCCAGTGGGTGCTGCTGCCCCGTGGTCAGGGCTTGGGGCCGAGCTGTGGAGGGCGGAGCCCTGAAGCAGAGGTGAGGCAAGAGCCGCATTCTGGCAGGGTTTGCAGTCTGGCAGGAGATATGCTCTGTAATGCTTCTCTGAATTGCATGAGGGCAGAAGGAACAGGGAACTGCGTTTTTCCTTCACCAGATTTGAGGGCCTTGGCCACGTGCCAGGCTGCCTGGTGTTGGGGCCTGTTGATGATTTTTTTTTCTTTCTTTCTTCCCTCATGAGTAAGTGTTTGAACTGTGAGCATTCACGAGGCAAAGGGATATGCAAGAGTGGTAGTTGGGATCAACAGTAAGGTATTTCCCAAACACTTAAAAAGATTGCCCTGGAAGAATTCTCTTTTAGGCCAATGCAGAGTGGCTCAAACCAGAAGTAACACCCCCCCCACACACCCCCCTCCGACTGGTGCAAGCCTTCACTCAAAGAAATCAGGCAGTGAGCCAGGAAAAGCCTGGGAAGTAAATATTTGGCAGAAGCCTTGTCTAAAGGGGAAAATCTCTGGGGCAGTACAAAATCTGTCTGGTTCTGTTAATGGAGATGGTTTCATCTCTATCAAAGCCTGATAGAATTCCATTTAATATTTAAATCATACAACTAAACCTTTTTATTCTATTCCTTTTATTAAACAACTACAGTTCTGAATATTATTTTATTTCCCATAGGATTTTTCTATAAGGAGAGAATGCCCTGGCCAAATGAAATGAATAGCCATTTTCCTTGACAGTTATATTTTTCACTGTCAATTAATGCATTGGTACTTCTGTCTTATACACGAGCTTCTGATGAACATGATTCAGCATCTCGGGTCCTGTATCACAAAGGCCAGACTCTGAATTGAGTGAATTACAAAGAAATGTCACTCTGAGGCCTCTCGGCCAGCCAGCTCTCTGACACCCAACTTTGTAACACCCACTTTTCCACAGAAAAGAATTTCTGCATATGGTTATATGCACAATATTAAAGATTAGGGCTAATAATTAAAAGATTATTATTAATAATAAAACCCTTAAAGTAAAAAGATTACACCTTTATTTTCATTTTTTTTTTTTTAGTACAGCAAAGAAGGCAGAGCAAGGTAGACTGCATTCCACTCTTAAGAGAAGGACCTCAGGGAGGGAGGTGGGTAGGTTATAGGATTTTTAAAAAGAAAAGAAAGTTTCTATTTTGCCCCTGAAGAAAAGGAACATGGGAACATAGCCTGATTATGAAGAATAATAAAGGGCCTTAAAGTGATTTCCCAATAATTAACAGGACAGTTTAGAAAAAGAAACGACTTAAGGAGAAAATTTTGGGAATGTCTATTGGGTTAAAGGAATAGAAGAATCTGAACAAGGAAGAAGAAAGCTTTAAGAAAGGGTTAATAAACAATGTCCAATAAGGCAGTCACGTTAAGCATTTAAGAAAAGGGCTTTTCATTTGTCAATTAGAAGGGTGTTAGTTATTTTGTTTGGCTGTTTATTTATTTTTTTTTCTTGTATTTTCATTGTACTTTAAATTTGGAACAGATAATACTGGTACATTCTCATAGTTCCAAAATCAAAATATTGAAGATATACTTCAATATTGTACTGGACATCTCAGCAATGGCAAACATACAAGGGAAAAATGTATATAAGGATTGGAAAGAAATACATAAATGTGTTATTTGGAGAAATTATGACAGTCTATATGTAAAATTATAACCCATTGACTATCAGTATTAATAAGTGAATTTAGCAAGTTGCTGGATTTAGTCAGCATATAAAGTTCAATTATATTTTTATACTAGAGGCCCAGCGCACGAAATCATGCACGAGTAGTTCGCCGCCGCTTGCTGCCACTTGCCGGCCTGCCCGCTGCTGCTCGTCACTCACCGCCCCGCCCACAGCCGCTCGTCACTCCCCACCCTGCCTGCAGCTGCTCATCGCTCACGGCCCAGCCCACAGCCCCTGATCACTCGTCGCTCCGCCCGCCGCCGCCGCTCATTGCTCCGCCTGCTGCCATTCACTCGTCGCTCACCGTCCTGCCTGCAGCCGCTTGTCGCTCGCCACCCTGCCCGCCGCCGCTCGTGGCTCACCACCCCGCTCCTCGCTCTGTCCGCAACCGCTCGTTGCTGGTCACTCTGCCTGCAGCTGCTCATCGCTCACGGCCCAGCCCACAGCCCCTGATCACTCGTCGCTCCGCCCGCCGCCGCCGCTCATTGCTCCGCCTGCTGCCATTCACTCGTCGCTCACCGTCCTGCCTGCAGCCGCTTGTCGCTCGCCACCCTGCCCGCCGCCGCTCGTGGCTCACCACCCCGCTCCTCGCTCTGTCCGCAACCGCTCGTTGCTGGTCACTCTGCCTGCAGCTGCTCATCGCTCACGGCCCAGCCCACAGCCCCTGATCACTCGTCGCTCCGCCCGCCGCCGCCGCTCATTGCTCCGCCTGCTGCCATTCACTCGTCGCTCACCGTCCTGCCTGCAGCCGCTTGTCGCTCGCCACCCTGCCCGCCGCCGCTCGTGGCTCACCACCCCGCTCCTCGCTCTGTCCGCAACCGCTCGTTGCTGGTCACTCTGCCTGCAGCTGCTCATCGCTCACGGCCCAGCCCACAGCCCCTGATCACTCGTCGCTCCGCCCGCCGCCGCCGCTCATTGCTCCGCCTGCTGCCATTCACTCGTCGCTCACCGCCCCGCCCACCAGCGCTTGTTGCCCTGCCTGCCGCAGCTCGTCGCTCCTCCCATCACCACTCGCCACCCTGCCCGCCACCACTCGCAGGCCAGGGTGGAGGGACTGAGGGGTGGTCAATGCACCTCATGGCGACTGGTCGAGCGGCCGTTCCGGTCGTTACGGTTATGGTCCCTGGCCTTTTATTATATAGGATACAAGCACTGAACAATTAGAAAATGAATTTTTTAAAAGAAATCCTATATAATAAAGAGCTAATATGCAAATGGTCGTCACACCCTCGCGCCCTCACGTCAGAACTACTCAGAACACTGGGGAGAGAGGAATGGGGACCAGCCAGGCACAAATGAGCTCGTGAGAGAGGAATGGGGACCAGCCAGGCACAAATGAGCTCGCGAGAGAGGAATGGGGACCAGCCAGGCTGAGGCCCAGGAGAGGGACAAGCCGCCCACCCCACAGTCCCAGGCGCCTGCGGCTGCAGCCCGGAAAAGGCTGCCTGCCCACGGTCCCCTGAGGCTGCAGCTGGCCAGAGGGAGGGAAGCCCGGGTCCTGGGTGCCTGTGACTGGCCAGAGGAGGGAATCCTGGGTCCCGGTTGCAGGGCAAGACAGGAGGTTAGGGGCGATTGGGCCAGCAGGGGAGCAGTTAGGGGCAATCAGGCAGTCAGGCAGAGGTGGTTAGGGGTGATCAGGCAGGCAGGCAGGCGAGCAGTTAAAAGCCAGTGGTCCCGGATTGCGAGAGGCAGGCAGACATCCCCTGAGGGGGTCCCAGATTGGAGAGGGTGTAGGCCGGGCTGAGGGACCCCCGACCCCATGCACGAATTTTGTGCACTAGGCCTCTAGCATAAAAAAATATGAAATACGTAGCATACTAGTATCCTATGGCTGCTATAATTACCACAAACTCAGTGGCTTAAAACAAATTTATTCTCTCAAAAGTTCTGGAGACCAGAAGTCCAAAATCAAGAAGGCAGGGTCTTATTCCCTTCAGAGCCTCTGAAGAGAATCTCTTCCTTGCCCTTTCTAGTTTCTGGTGTCTGCTGGCATTCTGTGGCTTGAAGCCACATCGCTCTAATCTCTGCCTCCATCTTCACATTACCTTCTTTGTGTGTGTCTTGAATTTCCCTCTTCCTCTATCATACAAAGACCCTAATGGCATTTAGGGCCCACCTGGATAATCCAGGATCATCCCTTGTTTCAAGAACCTATAATGTAATCACATCTGCAAAGACCTTTTTTTTCCAGATAAGGTAACATTTCCAGGTTCCAGATATTAGGACCTAATGTCTTTGGGGCAGCATCCAGCCCTTTGCACCTAGGATTAAATTTAAAGAAAGATGTGTAGTCTTCAGAGAAATTAGAGAAGACACAAGTAACTGGATAGGTGGCCTGTGGTCATAGATCAAAAGACTCAATAGTGTAAAAATGTCAGTTCTCCCCAAATTGATCTGTAGATTTAGTCTAATCCCTAACAGAATCAAAGCAGGTTTTGTGTGTGTGTGTGTGTGTGTGTGTGTGTGTGTACATGTGTGCATGCGCACATAAATTGATAAGCTGATTCTCAAACTTATATGGACATTTAAGAAGACCAAGAATAGTCAAGACAATCTGGAAGAACAACAAAGTTGGAGGATTTATACTACCAGATATTAGAAAATAGTCCAATGGAGCCCTGGTGTGGCTCAGTTGGTTGAGTGTGTCATCCATGCACCAAAAGGTCGCCATTCCCAGTCAGGACACATCCCCAGGTTGTGGGCTTGATTCCCTGTCAGTCGGGGTGAATGGGGAAGACAGTGATCCATGTTTCACTTTCACATCCATGTTTTTCCCCTCCTTTCTCTAAAATAAAATAAGTTTAAAAAAACATATTTAAAAAAAGAAGGTAAACCAATAGAACTGAATAGGGTTCCCAAACAAATCCTTATGTGAATATTTTATGGAAAAGTGACACTGTACAAATGTGGAGGAAAAAAAAACAGACGTTTCAATAGATGGTGTTGGGTCAATTGAATATCCATGTTTAAAACAAGAAACCTTGATGCCTACTCATGGTATCTTTATAATTTTGGGTAGTCAAATATTTCTTAAACAGGACATAATATGCTCAAGTTATAGGGGAAAATATTGAGCAAAATATTTGAGAAAAGTGTGAAAAAATATAAAGAACCTTGAATTGTGTCAGGAAACTACAAATAGTTTTGTATTCCTGGGGCATGAAGTCAATTCAGGATGAGACTGGAGAGGTAGGCAAGGGCTGACCTACATAAAGCACTTTAGAGCAGTCACAGGGTTAAGCAATTTACTCTCCAGGTAATGGAAAAGAACCAGAGGGATCTAAGCAAGAGAGTGATTTGGCTCAAATGATATTTTAGATGGAAATTGAATTTGGCAAAGAAATCAATTAGGCTGTTGAAGTAGTCTAGAAATGATAAGGCTTAAATTACGGCAGTGATAGCAAGGATAGAAGCAGGGATAGAGATAAACATTTAGTAGGTGATTACCAAAATTTGGGCATTGGTTGAATATGAACAAGAAAAGCGAAGGGAGTAGTCTAAACTGGTGCCTTCTAGGTGGATGATTGTATCAACAACAGGAGGTAAATACTGAAGACTTACCAATGTGAGGTACACAGAAGATGAATTAGTTTCTAGATATATTCTCCATGGTGAGATATCCAGCATTCAGTTGGATATATAATTAAGATCAGGACTGGAGAAAGGGATTTGTTACTAATTGATTATAGTGACCTAAGGTCATGAGACCTAACTAGATTACACAGGAAAAGCATGTAAAATGAGAAATATGAGCTGAGAATGAAAAGCCGAGGGACACCAACATTGAAGGGCCACAAAGAGAAAAAGGAATCTGTAAAAGAAACAGAGAAAAATAAGAAAACTAGGAAAGGTGTAACTAACTTCCTGAAACCAAAGGTGTAGAGAGATCCACAGGCTAGGGAAGCAGGTAAGTCTGGTGAGATAAGGTGTACGTACGTGTACAGTGCTTAGGCAAGTATGAGTCATGAATGATGCTGGTAAGAGCAGTTTCCCTGGGATGAAGGACTGAAATAGAGAAGTAGGGAAATTTTGTTCAAATAGTTATTAAGCGTTGTCAATGGAAAGGCCGTTGGCATCAATTCAACACCAAAAGGAATTCCCAATTTGGGGTGCAGCGAAGAAGGTAACGTTATTCAGTGCAGTTGGTTTGTGACACCGAACTGCTCACAAAATATTCTGTATCAAAATATTTTTCATCTTTTTTTTAACTTTACTATTATGATTAGTTTTTAGTCTTTAATACCAACATACACCCACACAATGAACTATAAGTAACCTTTGAAAAAAGACTGAAGCATATCTACTTATGCCAATATAGAACCATCTTGATATTTTAAGGGGAAAAAAATCGATGTGCCAATAGTTAATACAGTATTCATGTATAATAGTGTGTGTGTGTGTGTGTGTGTGTGTGTGAGTTGGTCTGCACAGGCTGCTATGACAAAGTACCACAGACTAGGTGGCTTATTAGCAGCAGAAATGTACTGTTCACAGTTCTGGAGGCTTGAAGCCCAAGGTCTTGGTTGGCTGAGAGCCCTCTACCGGGTTGCAGACTTTTCCTATAAGTTCACCTGGTGGAAGGGGCCAGGTATCTCTTGGAGCCTCTTTTATAAGGCACTAATCCTATTCATGAAAGTCCTACCCTCATGATTTAAGTACCTCCCAAAAGCCCACCTGCAAATACCATTACCTTTGAGGGTTAGGGTTTCAATATATGAATTTGGGTGGAACACAAACATTCAAACCATAGTAGTATGTCTCCATCTCCTTTCTAACACACACACATAAAATATATGTATAGCTGCCACACACGATCAGACCATTTCCAAGAGGGTTCATAGAAGTCGTTTACCTCTGGGAAGGAGTATCAGTCTGGGATGGAAGGGAAACTATCTTTTTATGTATACCTTCACACAGTTGGACTCTCGTCATGTGTATGTATTATGGTTTTGAGAAAATAAATGTTTAAAGAATTGACTGATAGACAAAACAATGTTAAAAAAGTTAGACAGTGATGTTAAAAATAACATTAAAAAACGTAAAAGTAAAGTTACAGCTAAAGTTAAAAGCTAATAGAAGTTGGGAAGTAGAATGGAAGAGGAAAGATAGAAGGTGGGGTGTCATCCTCATTTTACAAAAGGAAACAAATTTAAGCAGGGCAGTAATTGTAGACTACACTTTGATTCACCAACTACGCGAGGCACACAGGAAGGACCTCAACAGAATCCCGTTTTACTCATATTATCCAGGCTCATAGGAGTTTCTTTATGATACCAATTTTTTGCTGTAGAGTTTATTGATTTACTCGTTTGTCCTCCTTCATTATTACTTTAGAAGTGCCTGTCTCAGGAGAAATTTAACTCTGAAACAGTCAGGTGATGCTGTGCAGCATGGCCAGGAGACCGCCCAACATTGAGCCACTTGTGTTAGGCTCAGTCTGGTAGGGACAGCCCAAACATACTTATAGAGCCTTTTGTTTTTGTTTTAAAGCCACTGATCTTTAAGGAAAATCATAATCTTAAGAGTTGAAAGGAACTTTAGAGGTCTGGTAACCCCCTTTTTCTTTACCCTCGAATATTACCATTTGTAATGATTTATTTGGCTAAATTTATTTTAAGTTTAGATAGTGAAAAGTCTAAAGTTTATATTTACCTTTGCCCTTGATACACAGTATTCTTGACTAACTCATTCACTTATTTTCTTTTTTTTAAACAAGGTATTGTTTTTATCACATGTTTCCCTTCATTAGTAAAACTTTGTGGGTTTTTTTTTGTGTGTGATATTTTCTTATTCATATTTTTTATTGTTTTTCTTCTCCTTAAAGAAGTCCCTTTAACATTTCTTGCAATACTGGTTTGGTTGTGATGAAATCCTTCAGCTTTTCTTG